TGAAGAAGAAGAAATTTAAAAGGTGAAATTTTTTTATAATTGCAAATAAAGTTCACAATTTTAGAAGGTCTTCTCAATTAATAGTATCTCTTCTCTTCAAATGGAGTTATTTAGTAAATTTTTCACACTCTTTTTCCCTCACTCTACCTCTCTATTTATAGATAATAATAATCTCTCATAACCCTTAGATTTATCTTGTCCCCAAATAATTCTCAATACTATAGGATTTGACTTAGACTCGAAATAACCCTCACAACCATAAAAATCTCTCAAAGCAATCTACATTATTAATTTAATAGTTGAGAGATGAGTTTATTTCTCTTGTATTTAATTCATTTAATACTCTTGAGCTTCTTAGGATTTAGTTCAATCTTCAAATCGTTTAATTGAATTCAGGTTTCTATCATAATCTACTAGTACTAATAAAATTCTAGAATATGCCAATCTGGATGTCTATATCTCGTCTAGGTATGTGATTTTCATATGTAATTTGTTAAATTCTGCTTTTCGAATTGGGAGATATTGACATGAAGTTGACTTTTTTTAAAATCCTATTTTACGCCTAATTGCAGGCCAAGTTATTGATAATTACCGATAAAAAATAATGAGTGCTGAGATTTTACTTCTAGACTTGGTCGTGGACTTTGAACTTATGTATTTTGGACTTTATTACAGATCTTTTTTGGGCTCAAAATAATCTTCATATGAGCTCTTATTTAATAATTCTTTATTACCTGTAAATTAAGATAAAAAATATTATTAGTTGTAGGCAAAAATTGCCTTAATTCCTAGCATAGAAGCTCAAAACTGACAAAAATGCTAATATCTCTCAAACCATAAAGAATCTGGCGAAACGGATAGGAACAAACCAAACCCTTTGGGTTGGTTTGGTCGGCTCCATCTCGTCAAGATAGTTTATTTTCATATATAATTCGTCCAATTTAGACTTACGGTTTGAAAGCTATTACTCGTTCTTCGGAGCATGTTTTGAAGTTCACATGTAAGACTAGACTTTGCCTGAACATTGAAGTTCACCTACAATGCTAAGTTCGCCTGACAACTTAGCTCGTCTGAACTGGTTGAAGCTCGCTGACAGCTTCGCCTATGAGGTTCGCCATGCAGCGAGGCTTAACATCAAAAGATGAGGTTCGCCACACAGCGAAGCTCGACATCAGAAGACGAGGTTCGCCATGCAGCGAGGCTCAACATCAGAAGATGAGGTTCATCATGCAGTGAGACTCAACATCAAAAGACAAGGTTCGCTGCGTCGCGAAGCTCGACATTAAAGTTCGTCACCGGGGACAAAACTCCTCTAGGAAATGAAGCCCTTTTAGGAGGCGAAGTTCATCCACTGACGAACCTCGTCAAGTAGCGCCTCACCTCCTCAGAAGACGAACTTCGTCATTGAAGATGAAGTTCGCCTAGAAACAAAGTTCGTTATTGAAGATGAAGTTCGTCGAGAAACGAAGTTCGTCATTGACAACGAAGTTCTCCCAGAAACGAAGTTCGTCATTGAAGATGAAGTTCGTCCAGAAACAAAGTTCGTCATTGAAGATGAACCTCGTGCATAACCGTTATTGACGAACCTCATTTGTCACTATTTCAAGAGGCTACATTTAAGGAGGGTTAATAATCAATAACTCACCCATTTAAGGAGAGTTAATGACTATTAACTCACTCATTTAAATGGGAGTTAATGACCATAACTTCCTTATTTTAAGAGAAGTTAAAGCCCTTAACTCACTCCATAATGGTCATAAGCCTATAAATAGGCACGATCAACATGAAAGAAGAGGGGGGAAGTTGAGAGGCTAGTCAAAAAGTCTATCTCTCCTCCACTCTCATAGATCTTCATAGATCATCCACTAATCATTTGGCCTTAGAGCGTTGAAGCTCATAACAAGCATGACGAGGGTCATTACAATGATGGGCCTTGTCTCAAATAATAAAGCTTGTCGTTGGAAACAAGATGTGAAGCGCGTCATTAGAAATGAGGTTTGAAGCTCATCATTGGAAATGAGACTTGACATCAAAGATGAAGCTCCTCATTGAAAACGAGGTTCGAAGCTCGTCATTGGATACGAGGTTCGAAGTTCATCATCAGAGGTGAAGTTCGTCAATGAAAACAAAGTTTGTCATCAGACTTAAAGCTCGTCAGTGAAGACAAGGCTCATCAAAAGGAAAGTCACAAGACTTGCTATGCAGTTGAACTCAGCTATCAAAGACAAAGTTCGTTAGTGAAGACAAAGTTCGTCAAACAAAATCAGTGAAAACAAAATTCATTAGAAGAAGCTATCAAAGTTTACCTTATAAGATGAACTTCTCTGCGTATCGAGGCTCGTCCAATTTGATGAACTCCGTGTCAATCAAAAACGAGGCTCGTCGTCCACATAAAATTTAGTTGTAACGGCTCCGAAGACTTAGTCAGCCACGTGGGCTAATCTTCAGGAACACGTTACGACGCGCGCTGATTTAGAGGAGACAGTTACGCCCCTCTACCCGTGATATTAGCACGTCGGTTACGTGCTTAAACCCTATAAATAGCTATGGATGGCTACAGAGAAAAGGGTTCAGACTTTTAAACTTTTGGCAATCATCAGAAATCAGAGCTCCTGCGTAGAGATCTGGAATTCGAACCTTGATTCTAGCATTCTAACGAACGTCAGAAGCTTCAGCAATCTTGTTCTGGTCATCAACGGGAGGCAATCTCAACTCAAGCATCGAGGGAAGCATCCTTTCGCCACTAAGAGCCCACGTTAAATAAGGAGGAGCTGAATTAATCTTCTATTCATATGTAATCGAGAGAGAGTATGAGCGATTGCAAGGGATTCGTACCAAGTGATCGAACCCAGTTTTCTTAAAACAAGAGAATCAATCAATCTTCAATTTTTTGACCCTACATTAGTAGATATATTTATTCAAATAAATTAGATAATAAGGGTATAAAAGTGCTATAAAATATAATGATAAAAATAACTTGGTTGATCCATTTACAAAACCTCTAGCAGGAGAGGTAGTAAAGATGACATCAAGTGAAATAGGGCTAAAACCATATATTTGAGATCACCAAAAATGGTAACCTAACCACTTACTAAAATTGAACTAGTTAAAAGGTTTAAATGAGTAATAATAAGTTTCTTAAAGTGATCAATTGATATTAACCATTAAGCCTAAGAAGATGAAGTCAATATCAAGAGGATCAGTTATACTCTTTATGAAATTCTAATACATTAATGCCAGTGTTTAAAGTAATAAAAAATACATTGTAGACATTTCACCTATCTGAACATAGAAGTGGTGCCGCTTCCTACAAGAGTCAAAGGTTTGCTCTTTAGAGAATTTATGAAGTTTTGTTTGCTAATGGTCAATTTCCGTTCAAATGCCTTCTAAATTTGAACTTGTAGAAAGGCTGAGGTACATTGTAACAATGATACAAATAATGTTTAATGTTTTGCATTATAAATGCCGCCAACCAGATTGTGTCAACATCATAGCATTAGGGACACTCTGTATTAACTAATCCGATGTCTTTTCTTCAAATGGCCGAACTCTCACAAAGAATGCGATACTTAGGGGTGACAGTAGTGGAAGTAGCTAGTATGAAATGGATTGGGCACTTACCTGCATGATTCGGCCCATGTTTCTTTCCTCCATGAGAAAACACTGCTCAGTGAGACAATGTAGTCAAGTCAATAGCAGCCAGAGCAAAAGATTGATTGATATATGGTGACAGTTCGCCTTCTTGTGCCAACATCTCCATACTAAATAGATTTTGAAATTCTGCCGCAAGTGGTTGAAAAGCTTGGGTGCCCCCCAAACGGCTCTTCTCTAAACAGCTCTTCTCTAGCAATGTATAGCTTGAGTAAGCACAAGGCCAGAACAGTGCTAAAATATTAATTCTCATCGAAATAAGATATTAGTATATGTACGACATTCTCTAGTTCTATCATAAATAGTAATTAGTTTAATGCTAAGACAACTAAAGAGTTTGATAGAACTTTAGTGTGTTTAGGCTAAATAAGGTTTAAATTGAACGATACCTCTACTATGTATATTTATCTCATTTTGTACACTTTGCATATTATTTTAAATAAACAATATGTTAATTTAAAAAATTATTTTTCCAAACCATTGTATTTTAAAATTTTATTTTTCCAAACAAAGTGGGAAATTGTTAGTACTTGTTTGTAAAAACAATATAGTCCCAAATCGAATATTTGAGCACTCTTTTCGAGGTTTAAAAGTATTTAATTATTGAGCTTTAAACTTCTAAATTTGTGTGCGTGTAGCGCATATAATGCGTGATTTTGACGCGATGATTAGATGCACTTAGCACTTTGCATGCTTTTTGTTGTTGTCCGATTACTGTAATTGTTTACTATATGTTTTGACTTATTCTTACTTATTGTTGTTGTTGCTGTTATTTAATTTTTGGAATTATGAAAAAAGCTAAAAGACAAATGACTGTTGGAAAATCTCTATTTTTTAGTATTGAAAAATGACTATTTTTTTGAAGGGGTGTTTTGGAAATTTATGACTATTGAAGATATTTTTTTTCAATCATGTAAATAGTCTTTGATTTCAAACATCAAACTTCACTTTTTTTCTCAAACTTCTCTCTCAAAAAAATCTACAATCCTACAAACTTATTTTATAGGGAATTAGTAGAAAATTCCAGGTTTGCTTTCTAGAATTTTCATAATCTATTATTTTCTGGTTAGATAATTCGCTTAACCTACAACAAACTTAGATTGATAAATGGGGCGCATATTAGTTTGGATAGAGTTTTTAAGGATGAGAGGGAGAAGGAAGTGGAGGTTTACAATGCTAACCCTCCTAACATTGTGTTTGTTTACACTTTTTAATAGCACTGGGAGGGGAGGCGAGGGATGAAAATTTGAAAATTCATTCACTTTCTCAACTCTCTAAAAATGGATGGATTAGGAGGGGAAGGGAGGGGTTTCATGGAATTTCTTGAAATTTAAATATTGCCCTATATATATGAGAAAACCAAAAGGTGTTCTATCTAATTTTATTAAAAGGATATATTGGTCAAGTAGCTTCTCTCGCCTTCCCATCCTCTACTCCAAACAAAACAGTGTATTCTCCCACCCATAGTTGTCTATCCAAACACAAATAAATACATTTCATCTTTTTTCTTTCCACTCCCTCCCCTTAGGTTTAAGCCAACCACTCCCGTCCCCTCCTCTTATTTGTATCCAAGCTGACCGTAAGGGAAATGATCTTTACGCCCCAAATTTTGCCTCATTATTATTACTAACAAGTCCTATTCACCAATTGACCTGATACGGTCCATGATATTAGCCACCACCTGCTTTGATTCCTTGAGCAGTTCGATGCTCTTCTTCAGCCTCTCCCTCTTGCTCGCAATAGCTGGAGATTCCTCCAGCATCTTCTCGATTCCATTAGCGCTCGTCCCGACAACTTCGTTAACCATTTCAAGCTCCACTTCATCCTCAACAAGCACTTTCAGGCAGCGGAGAACGTGCAGTGCAAGTTCATCTGCAAGCCTCAAAACAACAATCTTCCAGTATACTGTCAGCCTCATCCTCATGTCGAATGCCTGCTCTACTATTGAATCACTGTATTGCCTCAGGTGCTCGATTTCAACTTCACCAAAACCATTCAGATATATTTTTGACGGCTTTTTAGACTTGTTGATTACCTCCCTTAAATTTTCTTGCATTGATGGCTTTTTAGTCTTGTTGATTGCCTCCATAAAACTTTCTTGTTGTTCCATCAGCTCCTTCCAGGTTTTCATGTAATCGGGATTGAGAGTGAAATCGGCAATGGTCTCCATCTCAATCATCTCCTTCACAGCCTAAGGGAAAAAAACATTGCAGCCTAGCTTAACCAAACAGAAGAGAAATGTTACTTTCAGGATATAAAAATTATACCTGTAATGATCTCTTCTTCATCTTCTCAATAATATTGTGAGAAGCCCTGCGAATTGGCAACTGAAGCTGGGGATAATTATCAGAGTACTTCATCAGCAACTTAAGCACAATATCATCGAGATAGCCCCAAACTTTGGTCATAAACTCAATTGGCGTATCAGAAATGTGCTTTAGTTTCCTTCGCAACAGAGTTATGAAAGCACTCCTCGACATAAAATTGGGAAGCCCGATCCCATTGGACTCCTCCAACACCTTAATCTCATCGATCAGAAACTCTTTCTGTGAAGTCGGACACTCTGAAGGCAACTCCTTTGAGTACTTGAAGAGCATATCTGCAAGCCGAGCCCTGCCATGCATTTGTTCATTAGAATCATCATCATATTCTCCTCTGATCAGTATGTTTCGTAAAGACTCTTTTGCAGAACTGAGCATATGAATGAATGCCCTTATCGCATCACCAAAAGATGTAGGATTCTGTGGCATTTGGTCAAGTTCAGTTGTATTTCGGTTTAGTTTCTCATTGATTTTATTGGCAATGTCAGGCAAGCATCTTGAAATGCACGCCGCCTGTATCTGCATCAACTTCTGAGCAAGAACAGGAATCCCAACCATCGACTTATCAATCTTTGACAGCAATGGATCCGATGAAAACAGCCTGGTCTCCTCCTCTCGAGCCTGATCATAGGACTCCTCTCCAATCCGATTCCTAACACAAACATATCCAAGCTGAATGTTCACAGCATTGACGGTCACCTTTTCAAGCAACCCTTGAGGAGCCATGTCAGCTTTGGTAACCACTGCCAGTGTTCTCTCCCCAGTCCTATCGACTTTCTGAGACATCAAGATCGATTCACAAGTGGTGAAATCGACAGTGGCAGATAAAACATTCAGAATTATGCTTTCTTGGGGACAGATGTATTCTCTTATTATGGAGGCAATCTGTTCATAAATGTCATCAGGCTGCCCATGAACAGGGACTCTAGTGATCCCAGGCAAATCGACCATTGTCAGATTAGGGACTCCACTCTTCTTGACGACAAGAGTAAGGGGAGTGCTACAGATTCCTTTGCCAGATCCAGCAATCTCTTCGGTTGCAGCATTGATTGCATCAGCAACAAATTCCTCAGAGGTGGGCACTGTCTTGTTTCTGTACTCGAGTTGAAGCTTGGGCGTCGAGAGCGTTGGATGATCTTGAAGGCGCATTGTTAAGGGAACGCGAGTGCAAATCCCTTGGCCTCGAGGGACGCTGATGCCAGCGAGGGATTCTAGGACACTGGATTTGCCACTGGATTGATCACCAATGACTACGATGGTTGGCAGTTGGATTCCTTCTTGCATGAGTTTCAGGTGTCGGAGACGGTCGATGGCGTCGAGGAGAGGGCGAATGTGCTCGTCGTAGGAGTTGGCGAGGGCCGACATCTTCTGCTTGTTCTTCATTGCGGTGGCTTGCTTTAAGAGACTAGTACAATTCTTGTTACGATCTGTTTTCAACTTGAGTTCTGAGCCGTGATCGATAATCTATTTTCAATTCACAAAAAAATTATCATATAAAACAAGAGATTGGAATCCATGAAAAAGAGAGTGCTCTATTTTCATATAAAATCAAAACAATCCAAGAGATGCCATCTCCAAGAAATCTCGAAGAACTTAGGCCCCATTTGGCATGCAAGGGGTTAAGAGAAGGGTTACGAGGGTTTAACCCTACGTTTACTATCCAAACAGATTAATTTGGTCAAACGGTTAACATATCCTTTACAATAATTAAAGTTAGTTAACCTTCATTTAGATGGGGATAATAAATCCTTTACAATAATCAAAATCTTATCATTTAAATCATAATTCGTGAATTAAATTATATGCTCTGCATGGGGGCGAGCATTCCAAGCACTCAGAATCCTCCATCATCAACAAATTCGAGATAAAGAACAGATTTTAATTTGATGAGTAAAAGCTCGTACCTGCGATCACAAGCGACGGCGACGGTGAGAGTACCGGCGATCGAGATGGAGTCTACGTCGAAGGCATCGGCGATTGCATCCACGCCATTGATTCTAACCTCAGGCGCCAGCGGTAGAGTCACCGCCCTATATATTCTCTCTCTGATCACTAGCAAGCTTGCTGCTTTTGTTCAGTAGTTCTCTTTTGCTCTTGCTTTTGCTCAATAGCGCTTTTGCTCAATAGCTTTTGCTTTTGCTCAATAGCTTTTGCTCTTGCTGCTTTTGTTCAATTGTTTTTTTGCTTTTGCTTTTGTCCGATAGCATCTTGCTTTTGCTTTTGTTGCTCTATCGACCGTCTCCGACACCTGAAATATGGGCATGCTTGGTACTAAGAATAAATTTTGTGCTTGGTAGTAAGGTAGTACAATCCCCTCCACTCATTCAAATGGGGGACCATATTCACATGGGTTGAGGAGTACACGGGGATATGCAACCATTTGAATGAGTGGAAAGGATTATGTCACCTCACTACCAAGCATAACTTTTTATGTTTGGTACCAAGCATACCCATTTCTCTCTCTCTCTCTATATATATATATATATATATATATATATATATATATATATATATGAGAAATATGGGTATGTTTGGTACTAAGCACAAATTTTATGCTTGGTAGTGAGGTGGTACAATCCCCTCCACTCAATCAAATGAGGAATCACATTCACATGGGTTGAGGAGTACATGTGGATATGCAATCATTTAAATATATAGAGGGGATTATGCTACCTCACTACCAAGTACAAACTTTAAGACGGTGCAGGTGTTCAGATTAGGAGTGTGGGTGATTCGATTTGAAGTCTCAAAGAATAAAAGATGCTAGTGGGAGAGGCAAAGTTTTAAGACGGTGATGATATATCTTCAAAGGAGTTTGGTAATAAAATCCAAGGTAGAGATTGCTAGGATTGTATCTTTGATACTTTGTATAACTTTATGAGAATTAGATAGGTTTAGAGATCTATCATGATTAGAAGATTGGATCTCATTATGATTAGGAGTTTGAATCCTATTCTAATTAGGAAGTTAGGCTAGAGATATGGTTTTGGTTTCCCTATATATATTCTTTTATTGTTGAAGAAAAAATCAAGGAGATGAGAGAGAGCCCATATTCTTATAATCTTGGATTAGCAGATGGCGTAGCCTGATTCATGAATATTGTGTGAAAGGCGAGGGTTTGTAGTCTTTGTCCATACAAAAGATTACAATATTGGGAGAGGGTTTCACAGTCCTTGCCCGTTTAAAATATTGTAAGGAGTGGATTTTGAAGAGAATATGAGAGTTGATTATGTATGTGAGGTTAAGAAATTGAGAGACGAGAGTTGAGTGGTTCCTCTTGTAGTTCTCCCTAATATATAGTGGATTTTCCGTAATGTTATCTAGTGGATGTAGGTCGAAGTTGGTCGACCGAACCACGTAAATCTCGGCGTTCCTTCTTCTTCTTAATTGTGGTTGTTTTCTATCTTGCTAATTGTGGGTTGACTTCCAAGTTGTGACGATCATAATACGTGGGGGGACTAAAATCCCCTACAAATAACTCCCCTAGCCTTTTACACTTCTCTCAACAAAACTCCACGAATGTCGTTATTTCAATATGTGATTTGGATGAAATATCCACTTAAATTCCCGTTTGAGTTAGAATGAAACACTCAACCGATAATAAAATTAAGGATTGTGACCAATTTATGATGTTTTCCCCTCTATATCTCTTCTTTTTCTTTCTTTTGGGAAAAACCAAGATAATTCTTTTACGGTTGAGGGATATTTGCCACATAATAGATTTGACTCAACGGTATTAGTTTTGAACGCTTAAGTGTGAAAAGAGTGTCAGTAGAATCCCCTCAATTATTTTAATTTGAGAAAATCCTTCAAGTTTAGGGTACAGATAATTTATCTTAACTCTAAAATTTTGATCTATCCACCC